CAGCAGTTTGTTTATTCAGCTAAGAAATAAACCGTGAAACCAACGCATTAAACCCATTAGCTACTCTTCTCCTTATCAAACACAGAATATACTTGTTGTTCTTTATGATCCCACTTTGCCATTGTAAAATCCAACCTTAAAGCTTGGACTGTCGTAATTCTGTGTTAAGGTATGGGTGTTGTAAGCCTCTGTTAAGGCTTGAATGTCGTAAGTCTATGAGAAGGTATGGGAATAGTCTGTCGTACAGACCCTAAAGCAAATATATCCAAGAAAGCCCACTCAAGTCTAGAAAATGTGGCAAGTCTAGATTTCCTCAGCTTCTGAAAATGAAGAAAGTCTCAGGGCTCCTTTTCATTATATTTTATATATTTTTACTATGAACTTTTTTCAGTAAAATATGTTCATTTCAGAGACTAGTTGTTAGTCTAGTATGGGAATTGCACTCACCTTAATGCTGACAAGGCTTTGTACAGAGACCAGATATTGGTATGTGATCTCTGCTTGAATACCAGCACCCAGTTCTCAACCCACTGGCAAAGAGAGAATGCTTGAACCTCTATGAAGATGCATTGAACTAAATATCTACTGTGATCTCAAAATGCATTAAGTCTTTCTAATAATCATTAGAAAACAACACAAGAATTGACAACTGCCTTTAATAACATTGGGGTCCCTAAGCATAACATTAACCTTTGAGACAGTGTGGTTATTAGGATGAATACAGTACGCCTGGTTGCCAAATTTAAATATTTGTTCTTTGTCATTTGATCAGTTTTCCATTTTCCATTTCTTCTAAGAATACAGAATATATGTTTTTTAAGTAGTATGAATCACTGGATGAACTGATATAAAAGCAACACTTCCACTACTTAACACTTGCACTTAGTTGTGGAGCATGTTATGAACACAATCAGCCTGCTTTTTGATATACCTCTGAAGGAGATCAATATCGGTGTCTACCGGTCTGTTAGCCAGCCACACTGAACACAAGAGCACCTTTCAGTTGCACGCTGATCAGCTCTACCTGTCCATTCATTGTGTGTACCCACTCATTCAAACATACGAGTTCAATTTTCCCACAAACTTGTCTAAGTTGGGTGGTTGTGACATGACTCATTGGTTGTTCATTGTATCCTGACTAAAAGCTTCTACAGTGCTTCATTCACACAGGTGTAGTTGTGTATTATGGAGGTCAGAATTTGAAAGGGACATGCTTTGAAAAAACCAAAGACTTGGTTTGTTTTCTCTTGTGTGTAACATTTAGTATTTCACACTGATTGCTTTCTTGTGTGAGGGACGTTATATAATGGTGTAATATTTTCGGTGTGAGTTAAGCTTATGCTCACTTACCTGGTTTGAGATTTTGCGGAATAAAATGGATGAGTGTTTTGGGAACAGCTTGGATGATATTACAGGTAGGTACATTTGTTTTTACCTGTCACTTTTCCCTGTGTTTGGTTTTCTTACCTAATGCTAAGGGTTTACTCACAAAGAGATACAGGATTTATACACTGATTTATGGTTTAGTCACAGAGATCTATGGTAGTCCCAGACAGATATTGTGTTTACACACTGAGAGATAGTGTTTACACACTCAGGGATATTGTATACTTACTGAAAAATATTGTTTACTTACAGAAAGATAAGGGTTTTACTCACTGATAGATATGGGATATAATTGCTAAGAGATGTGGGGTTTCACACTGAGAGATATGGGATATAGTCAATAAGAGATATGGGTTTTACACACTGAGAGATACAGGATATAGTCAATAAGAGATATGCATTTTCACACTGAGAGATATGGGATATAGTTACTAAGTGATGTGGGTTTACACACAGAAATATGGGATATAGTTAATAAGAAGTATGGGTTTACACACTGAGAGATATGGGATATAGTTACTAAGTGATGTGGGTTTACACACTGAGAGGTATGGGATATAGTTACTAAGTGATTTGGGTTTACACACTGAGAGATATGGGATATAGTTACTAAGTGATGTGGGTCTACACACTGAGAGATATGGGATATAGTTACTAAGTGAAGTGGGTTTACACACTGAGAGATATGGGATATAGTTACTAAGTGATGTGGGTTTACACACTGAGAGATATGGGATATAGTTACTAAGTGATGTGGGTCTACACACTGAGAGATATGGGATATAGTTACTAAGTGATGTGGGTTTACACACTGAGAGATATGGGATATAGTTACTAAGTGATGTGGGTCTACACACTGAGAGGTATGGGATATATTTACTAAGTGATGTGGATCTACACACTGAGAGATATGGGATATAGTTACTAAGTGATGTGGGTCTACACACTGAGAGGTATGGGATATAGTTACTAAGTGAAGTGGGTTTACACACTGAGAGATATGGGATATAGTTACTAAGTGATGTGGGTTTACACACTGAGAGGTATGGGATATATTTACTAAGTGATGTGGGTTTACACACTGAGAGGTATGGGATATATTTACTTAGTGATGTGGGTTTACACACTGAGAGGTATGGGATATAGTTACTAAGTGATGTGGGTTTACACACTGAGAGATATGGGATATAATTACTAAGTGATGTGGGTTTACACACTGAGAGATATGGGATATAGTTACTAAGTGATGTGGGTTTACACACTGAGAGGTATGGGATATAGTTACTAAGTGATGTGGGTTTACACACTGAGAGATATGGGATATAGTTACTAAGTGAAGTGGGTTTACACACTGAGAGATATGGGATATAGTTACTAAGTGAAGTGGGTTTACACACTGAGAGATATGGGATATAGTTACTAAGTGATTTGGGTTTACACACTGAGAGATATGGGATATAGTTACTAAGTGATGTGGGTTTACACACTGAGAGGTATGGGATATAGTTACTAAGTGATGTGGGTTTACACACTGAGAGGTATGGGATATAGTTACTAAGTGATGTGGGTTTACACACTGAGAGGTATGGGATATAGTTACTAAGTGATTTGGGTTTACACACTGAGAGATATGGGATATAGTTACTAAGTGATGTGGGTTTACACACTGAGAGGTATGGGATATATTTACTAAGTGATGTGGGTTTACACACTGAGAGATATGGGATATAGTTACTAAGTGATGTGGGTTTACACACTGAGAGGTATGGGATATATTTACTAAGTGATGTGGGTTTACACACTGAGAGGTATGGGATATAGTTACTAAGTGATGTGGGTTTACACACTGAGAGGTATGGGATATAGTTACTAAGTGATGTGGGTTTACACTCTGAGAGGTATGGGATATAGTTACTAAGTGATTTGGGTTTACACGCTGAGAGATATGGGATATAGTTACTAAGTGATGTGGGTTTACACACTGAGAGATACGGGATATAGTTAATAAGAAGTATGGGTTTACACACTGAGAAATATGGGATATAGTTACTAAGTGACGTGGGTTTACACACTGAGATATATGGGATTTACTCACCCACGGATATGGACTTATCACTTACTTATCACACTTCCTGGTAGATATGTGATATTGTTTACAAAAGTAAACTATAGATCCTTTCAAGGGCCTATCATTATGATTCTAGTACAATGACGTTACAGGCACTGTGTACAGCAACATGCTGCTGTGTTTGCAGGAAAGCCTGTGCATTGTAATTTTCCAAAGGTATTTCCCAGCCCTGTTGTTTGACCAACTGTCAGTATTGGCAGCTGGTAATGCATCAAGCAGTGATGCGTAGGACCAGTGTTCCCTGTTATTGATGTGACTGAAACCAGAAAATGTCATGCAGTTATTGTTTCACATGACACTGTTGACTGTGTTTTATCTAAGAACATACAATACATGTATATTGAAATAGATGACAGGGTCAGCCATTTTGTAAAACAACAGAGGTATGGGTGAGTAAGTGGATATTGATCTGAGCCAAATTATGCAGATACTTTCTGAAGCCACCTAATTACTGGTAGGAATCAAGAATCTTCTTACACATGATACATTTGTATTTTGCAGACATTTGGGGTAGTTCAAAATCAAAAATGTTTGCATGACGAGGTTTTATTATCACCCAAGGACAATCTGATTGTTCATCCATGATATATTTAACTCACCATGTTTACACTTAGTGTGTTCAAAGTGATTTTAAAGGAGAAGTATTCTTGGGTAAATTGGCAGTTCTGGTACATTTGATTCATCATTCAATCAAAAAGAATGTGTTATGACATACAATTGTATAACAACTGAAGGATGACAGTTTTACATGCAGAGAATGTCTCTGTTCCCACTGTGCCATGGGAATGCTATTTTTCTTGAATGCAAAGTTTGTACCAATTATGTGAATTTATTCTGGTACAGTTACATATGCATTTAACAGCTATTTGGAGGTTTTGCAAGAAGGAAAAAAAAGAGGTACCTTCCTTCTGATGGGTCGGCCACTTTTTCACTTTAAAAGTGGTAAAATTGTACCCCAACATCCTAAACTTGTCAGTGAGGTAACTTGATGGTTATTGTTGGCATGGTGACATTTTTGGTAGCATGTCACATGGAAGTACGATATGTAACTAAAACCTGACCTAACAAACACGTTAACACTGTGTAGGTCATTGAATGACCCTCCTGAAATACACATTAACTTTTGCATTACCCTCTCAATTTTGTCTTAACAAATAAAGTTACCTGGCGTTTGTTTCTTTCTGTTGTAATGCTGTTTCATCACAACTCTATTAATATTTCTGTATTATTGTCTTTTGATATTTAGTTTTACTCTTTCCTAAAAAAAAGCTGTCCTTTGATGTTGTGTTTATTAAAGTTCAAAATGGATCCTTAGTACCTTATCTTCGTGATGATAGTTGACTTACTGAGGATCTGAATTATGTGTGCCATCGTACCATCATGGCTTCAGTTGTTGGTCAGGTTTTGTGTGATGTATCATGTATATTGTGGACTGCAGTGTCAGCAGTGTTGATTCTCCCACTGAACCCTCGGCTTGGTGTTTCAGATGGGCTTCTCAGTCAGGAACAAGAGGACCTGGTTGACCGAGTGGCCTACCTAGAGAAGAAGGTCACGCAACAGGGAGATGAGATTGTCTGTTTGAAGAGTGCCCTCGCTGATGTCATACGTAGAATCAGTCAGTTGGAGTCTGGTAAGTTGATGAATTAGCAGATAAAGTCATCTGTGTATTCAAAAGTTTGCAGATTCAGTCAGTTGCATTTAGAGGCTGATGAAGTTGTCCAATCTCAAAAGTGCCCGGCCAAGATTGAACTGTCTCAAAACTGCAAACTCTAATGTCAGCTTTAGTAATCTCTAAGGGTTATTTTGACAAAACATAGATAACTTCTTGCATATGATTCTTGCATTAGATAACTTCTTGCATATCATTCTTGCATTAGATAACTTCTTGCATATCATTCTTGCATTGAAATCTAAAATTCCTGACACCAAGAAGTCTGAAAATACTGGTCCCTAGTCAAAGGGAGATAACTCTTGCTTACCTGTTGATTTCAGCTCCCCCAAACCACGTTCTGCCATCAAAGCCTACATTCAGATCACCTCGAAAATCTGCATCACATGAGAGGAAGTCGCACCTGAATCCCCTGGAGAATGTGAACCTTATCTCACATCGAAGCACAACCCCACCACAATCACGATCCTACCACTCATCCAGGAATTCAACCCCACTTAAGAAATGGTCCTCACTGTCAAACTCAGCAGATCTTTCCAATTCACAAATAACTCCAAACAAGTAAGTTGTTTTCCTGGTGTCTGTATATATTATAAGTAAAGCCAGCTGGTAGCTGTACTCTAACCATAGTCAGGCCAGGCACAAATTCCTTACCATCTTGATGATCTTTGCAGTGATTTTGATGTACTTGCACTGGTGATGAAGTCTTTCAATTATCATTCTTTGTGTTTCTGCACAAGGCCACGATAAATTAATTATTATTTTTAAACACTGTCGTCAAAACGCATTACATCATTTCATCATATCCAAGACTCTACAGACACAGAAAGTTTTATTTAATTTTTGTTTATTTATTTATTCTTGGAATAAAAGACATGTACAATGTATATAAAGATGTATAAAGCTGGACACATCAGAGGTTTTTGGTTTTCTTTTACACATAGATACAACATTCGCACACACATCCATGCTATAATAATACAGCAATAATTAATTCACATTGTCAATATTTTTACTGAAAAAGATTTTCATATTGTTTCCGTTTGTTATGGTATTTCTGAAACCTTGCTTTGCTATAATATCTGTTTTTTCTACCTTGCGGTAATAGTTCAATTCTTTTTTAAATACTGATAAATACAATATTCGATTTGTAAGTTTACATTTATAGATATGAAATATAGATAATGAAATTATCAAGTCAAATATAGCATCACAGGATTCTGAAATACCAAATAACACTAGATCACTATGGAACATTCAGTATGATCCATTGAGAAAGATTCTTCCAAAAATATTCACTTTCTCTACATCCCCAAAGCAGATGGAGTATTGATTCTGGTTCAGAGTTACAATATGTACATAGATTGCCAGACACAGAGGGTTATTGTGTTCCCCTTGTTATGTTGCCTCATCATACTTGATGTGCATCTCATCCAGCGACATTTCATGTCCACAGATGTTTTTTTAAAAGCTAAAATGTAAAAAGTAAGAAAAAGTAAAAAATATTTGTAATGAAAATCTAATGATTAATTTATTGTGGCCTTCATAATTCCTATTGACTGATGTCTTATTGTTAAATGTTGTAGGCTTTGCAAAGCATGCTGGTTATTTCTTATCTGCATCATTGTATACATGATGGTCTGACTTTTGTCGCATTAAAAACATGGCTTCATATTATTTTGCAAATCTTGAAAAAAACTTTTAATTGACAATGATTAACATTTCGTGTCTGTACATGGACGTGATCATATTAATTGATCTATATTTTTTTTCAGTTCCCAATCAAGTGATTGATACAAGCATCCTTTAAATCATTATTGAAGCCTTTAGACCTTTTTGATCTGTTGAAACTTCAGTGAATGCTCTCTTGTAATAATAAGCAGTAATATTTTAGACATTAACGGATACCAGCAGTGTTGTCCTAAGAAACTGAGAATGACAATATCATCAGTTATTGGTGACAGCAATGTTGTCATCTTTTATGGGTGACAGCAATATTGTCATCTTTTATGGGTGACAGCAATATTGTCATCAGTGGCAACAATGATGTCATCAATAACAGATAACCTTGACAAGATTCAGTCAACATTGATTTCTGCTCTGCACTGTGTTTAATGTATTCAGTGTGATAATGTTTGTACTTTTGAGTTTGCCTGATAATGCACAATTTGATTACAGGAGACTCAACCTTCAAGCAAATGGTGACAGGTATATGCTTGTTGCACCTTCAAGCTTACATTGGAATGTTGGGGGGCATCTCATAACTTCTCAGACTGTTTTCAAATCAATATTCATTATAATAATATAGAATGCAGTGTTTTTTAGGAAATAATTTAGATTGTAACCAGATCAATTCTCTTGCTATAAAACAGCTGTACATGGTACTTGAAGCATTTTTTTTTCAATAAATGTCAAAATTGTAGTATTGATTTTCATGGTCTCGTCTGGCTTATCTGAAATGTGAGTCATGAATAGGCATTTTGTGAGTCAAGGTAGCTAACGATCGTCAATATTGTAGAATTAAAATGTACAGAAAATGAATTGCTAAGGTTCAGATTAGCAAGAGCTAGTAATCATTGATATTTTAATGAAACATGCATACTTTGACTGGCAAAAGGTGAATATTGGTTGTGGTATTCTGAGCTGTTCTGATTTGCTGCCGTCCCGCTTCACCTGTTATGAACACTGTTCAGACAACCTCCATGGATAGACACCATGGTCTGGTTGCTATGTTACGAAGTGTGCTTCTTCAGCATTATGGTGCAGTCAAAGTTGATAAAACAATTATTGTCTCTGATACAGGTTATGACAGACAGAACATGAAACGGCCTCTGTGACATGACTATATGTGTAATCATAACTGGAATTTGCTGATTGATGCTTGCAATGTCAACCACTGGTTTTCCTGATCCAGAGTGAGTCAGTGAGTTTAGTTTACGCCACACTCAGCAATATTCCAGCTATATGGCGGCGGTCTGTAAATAATCAAGTCTGGATCAGACAATCCAGTGATCAACAGCATGAGTGTCAATCTATACAATTAGGATACGATGACATGTGTTAACCAAGTCAGCAATCCTGACCACCCGATCTTATTAGTTGCCTCTTACGACAAGCATAGGTTACTGAAGATCAATTCTAACCCGGATATTCATGGGTCATCTCTTACGACAAGCATGGGTTGCTGACGATCAATTCTAACCCAGATCTTCACAGGTTCATAAGTGTAGTGAAGGAATGTTATAAACACTACAATATGACAGTTATATCATTTAAGTTAACAGGGCAGGTAAAAAGTGGTTGATAGCAGGAGCAACAATTCTTACATGAATACACATATAGCCAGTAGATGAGTACCACTGAACCATATTATTGTATGTAGTATGGAGTGTTGTGTCCCTGTGTCCCTAGAGAGAAACCTTATCTATTCAAATTGTTATGATAACACAAAATATCTCTGTTGATGATATATCACCATGTTTGATATGTGATTTATAAATGAATGCACAAAATGCTGACTAAGCACATTTTGAAAGCGATGTTTGATATGAGATGGTACAACAGTTATGATGTCATCAGTACAGTCATACTGCATGCAGGAGATGTTAACACTGTTATCATGAACCCATAGGGGGCTGGCAATGGTAATGCATGTCTATACTGTTACTCTGATACTAAGAATTATGATAACAATTCATTTTTAGCTCATGGGATCCAAAACATATAAAGTGGAAAACCCTCCTTTATTTTCCTCACAGTAAATGAACTGGAGTATTTCTAAATGCAAAATATAAATTTAATCCCTCTCGCTAACTTGATTTGATTTTGGTGCAGGTTAAGTCTAGATTTAACAGCACTATATTGAAATTTAAAGTGAGACTTCAAACATTACAATTGTTTGATGCCACTGATTCGGACACAATGTGACAATGATGTCACTGTATAAATGCTCAGAGATGGTTATTATGATTTGAAACCTCTGACTGACCAATCAGAAGGAAGTATTATCCAAATTCATGGTGGCATTTGAAAAAATTATACAAAAAAATAATCCATAATATGAGAAATATTCCTGAACACTTGAGATGAGCAAAAGAACTCAATTTTGTTTTAACAATGTGACACCAAAATTCACGATCCATAACCTTATACAAGTGTGTTCAATACTTGAAACGATTAGTACCAATGTGATACACTCTACAAAAAGAATAACACAAGCAACATGATACATACAGAAACGATCAAACCATTCAAGGCCTGTTTGACACAGCATTTTGCCCTGGAAATAATAAGAATAACATAAACTAGATTCCAATGTCTGCGTGTTTATATTCTGTTTGTATCGAGTTGTGGATATGGATTTACTGAAAACTTGACACAGCATCAGGTTTTGTTTGTTTGAATAGAGAAATTTAATCAGCGATAATGTATTTAGCGATACTTGTACATATAATCAGATGCCTCATAAAATGTTAAGCAAGTTTGTCTTTTGCGTTATAAAAAATTTAATATACATCAGTTTTTTTATTCATCACCAAGTTTAAAACAGTGTTAAAACACAGTAGAAGGAAGACAAAGAAGTTCCAGATGAAACATTCAGTATATAATATTTTAATCTTTCAGAATGTTTTTATTAAGTTCTGCAACTTGTATAATTCATATGTTTCTCACTGGCTGTCCGTGCTGCATGTATGTTGATGATATCTGGGCTGTTGGAGCTTGTATATCATTCCTTTTACAATGGCTGTGGCTGATATTGTATGGCAGAAAAATAACAAGCTCATGGTAATCTGTCATTATTGGCAATTACCTAAATACTCAGCTGGGCCTGAGTGATATTTCTAGTGATGTCAAAGATAATTGATATGACTTCCATCAGGGACAGATATGTTGGGATTTGGATACATACTAGAATGTGAAATGGTTACCAGATTATATCAGTTCCAGAGTAGTGAGAATTTAGAGAATTTAAATAAACACAGAATTATTATTTGGTTCTTACTTGTCAGAAGTTTCCATAAATTCATAAATTCCAGAACATTTTTAAAAATTTCCTAATTTTGTTGCTACTAATTAATTAATATGACCAATTGTTAAATCACAATTGTGACATACAAGAGTAAATATTTCAGTGCTTCAATTATATTTTTTTCTTTTGTAGAATGAATAAATTACTTTATCTTATAAACCCTTGTAAATGGTATGAAATAATTCCAATGTGACAATTTTGGTACTGTGAACATTTTCAAATGACAAGGACAGTTAGAGAAATGGTTATGGTGGGAAACACTTGAACATTCCTTGAGAGTTTCACACATGGCTGGGAACAGAAATGTTTAGCTAAGTACTTCAATATAACATAAATGTACTGAAAATAGTTGAAAAATATCTTCTTTGACTAATATAGCATTACAGACAAAGACAGTTTACAAAATATTTAAAAAAAGAAGTTACCATATTTTCCTTTGAAATCTGTTTCCTATTTGATAAGCCTTATAATGAAACTCCTGTCTGATGTTCATCACTGAAAACAAGTCATGTGACAGCTCAATTGGCCTTGACCCTGGATAGTGTGCTATAAATATTCAGACCTGCCCAGCCTCAGTTCAGTTTCCAGCTACCAGTTGCACAGGGAAGTTGAACACAGGCTGCCAAAGTTTCTGAAGTTTAAAAACTGTCAAATTGATTCTGGATAATGTCACACAGCAAGAGGTAGTATTGAAGATGATCACAGTTTTATACTAATGTGCATGTGTTATGTGAGCATGCACTCTTCTTCATAATGCTGAATTCTGTCATGTTTCTGTAAACTAATAATTGTGATATGTATTGAGTCACAGCTATTACATGTATCATACAGCTAATATGACTAATAGTTGCATGGATCAAGTTGCAAACAAAACTGCATGGAGTGCACTAGCTCTCATGCACTGAAGATGAAGTTAGTATAAAAGAACCAGACTGTGACTCTTCTCAAATTTTAGATAATGACCAGGTAATAACAAATTTGTTTAGTATGTTTCATGAATGAAAGTTCTTCAAGTGTAACACTGTTAAGTCAATGATAAATGACAGTGAATCATGTTATTTAGAATGCATCATGAATAAAATTTTAAATGCTGTATAATTTGCTGAACTCAAACACTAAAATTTTCAATGCAGTCTGATGATAAAGACTGTCTGGTCATGATGTCATTATTTAGCTTTGGGTGTTATTTAAGTTCAAAATAGATATTTTGAAGAAGTATATGTGGATGTAGCACACTACTCACAAAGGACTTAAGTTTCAGTTTCCTGTTACTGAGGAAGTACAAGGACAAAATGCTCAAATAATGAGGAACGTTAACGGTTAACGTTTACATGCAAACTTTTCTTCCAGTGCATAATATATTCTAACATGTAAGCTTTATCAATAAATATCTCGATGTTGTGGGTATTTTCCATGTGAAATACTCTGTTAATTCTGAATCAGTGATGTAATGAACATATTTCTGATGATTTTATCTGCTTATACTTTCAAAGTTTTGATTATTTACAGACTGACATGTGGCTGGTATATTGCTGGGTGTAGAATTAAGCAAAAACAAAACAACAAAATAAAATAAATCACCTGGGTATCACTAGTATCATTCAACATTTATATATGATGCATTACCATACTGAACACACAAAGTTATGGATCTTGAAGCTTGGGAGTGCACTATTTCTTTAAAAAATCATAATCTCTAATTTTCTTGTTCCCACTTTTATGTATGCATAACAATGTATTGCCATCTTGTCGTTCAACATATATATCCATGATGAACTAACTCATCGTTCTGTTTATCTGACATGTACACCATTATTGTACAATCTCATCATTTAACGTTTAGACTGATGTTTTACCGTCTCGTCATTCAACATGTATACCAATGTTTTAACATCTAATATATATCAGAGACCATATAATAAATTTGGTCTCTGTATATATACACCAATACTGACCAACTCATGACTTGTATATAAACCAGTGTTGTACAATTCATCATTCAGTATATCCGACACAGACTCATGACTAATGTTGTACCGTCTCACTCCTTGTCGTCATGGTGACTGGGAAATGATATTGTTGATTATTGTTGACGTTATGTGTTTATTCCCATACAGGCAATGTAACTAACCATGTGCAACACTGTACGCAGCTGTACGCTTCCTGCAGCCAATGGCGGTGACGGTGGCCTATGTAATATCATAATGTCTCATCTGTGAATATGTCTGGGACCAATTATTGGCAGCAGTTGCAAAATTCAAACTGAAATAAATATTTGTATGGTTTTTTATATGGGGCAGTTGGATAATGGTTAGATGGTATGACAATTCAGATGAGTTGATCCTTACAGATAGCCAATAATGTGCTGTCATACTGAGTATGACCTATATATGTGACTTGCCAAAACACTCTGATCTCATTTTGATTTCAGCAATTTGGGGAATATTATGAAATATTTTCTACATCTCTTAAAGTATCTCAGAGACACATACAGATACAGATATGTACATACAGTCTTTACTGCTTCAGCAAGAGATATATGAAATACCCATATATCCTAATTCAGTGTATGCTTGGGTTTCATAGATGTGTAGGAAGGAATATTTCTAAAATGACATGCTGTTCTTGAAAATAAATGTATTCAAAAAGTTTGAACTGTTCACAAATGAGACATTTTGGTGTAAACAGTTGCTGTAAACGACCCAAAGGTTTAAAAATGCTCCTGTTTCTTTTATAGACGTAGCATTTCCCACAGTAATCTGAATCCGCGCCCGGTGATGAAGGGGTAAACGCATGTAGATTAAAGCTAGATATACTCACTAACTCTTGTTACTATGGCTACTGGCTCTCTGCTTCTTCAGCACAGGGAAGGATCATACTGGTGCCAACAAGAAAAAGTCCGTTTTCTTAAATGTCAACCAGAAGTAAAGATACACCATCAAAATTATCAAATTTTATGTTTTAGCATTTATGAAAATCAGATTAAATTTTTTTTTATGAAGACATTGTCAGGCTTGAGCAGTAATAAACTATGTAACTTTTTCCTTTGATGAAATTATTTTATGAATTTACAACTCTTTTGTTAAGGATATCATTAGATGATACAATGATAGGGATATCTGTATCAAACCTTTTTGTGTATATATATCCTAACTCAGAATAGTGTTATCTTTACTATGCAAACAGATTCCTCAAGGAACATCATTATAAAGGAAAACAAAGTGTCTGTTATTATCATTTTTATCATATTCACTATACTGAAGCATTATTACATCAAAATACTAATCACAAACTATTTTAAAGAAATATTGAAGATTTGTGTCCAGTTTTCCTTGTTTCCTTAGTCTGTCTACTTGTTTCCTGTGTTTTGGCTGATTTCATGTAAACTGCTAAGTACAGGATGTATTGTTCATGTCTCCATGGATCGCAATAACTAAATGATTCCAACTCTTCCATTCAGATCATAAGCAGGTTTCATTGGTAATCGATGATAATTTTTTATTAATCTTCTACATTTTTGTTATTATTTTTGTGGTTAAAAAAATTAAGGATGGACTTTTGGGATAGAAATGGTTGAAATGCTTATTGTATCTTTACACAAAATTAAATATAAGAGAATGAAAAAGCACCATATCCTTCCCTGTCATTAAGATACTTCGCTTCCTTCACATCAAATATGAATTGATGAAGACATTCTACTTGGATGGTTATTTCACAGTGTCTCGTTTGAACTGTCTCGGGCTGATTTTTATAGTCTTTCAGTGAAAGCCTTTAGAAGGGATTGGTTTCTGCAAGATTTATTTGTTTCAGGTTAATAGGCTGGTAATTAGTCATAGGTTGGGTCTCTTTCATTTCACATACTTTTATGTTTGGTGAACAGTACAACATACTTTGCTATTTTTGTTCTTGTAGGTTATGATGTTTTGAGATATACATACACATCACATGTTATGTTTTGCATGTGCACACATATAAAGTCCAAATAAAATATTGATTTTACACCATTATTTAGTCCAGAATGCATGCAGTGTATGTTCTATTGACAAAAACATTTGGCTTAAATGAACAATAACTTATATCCAAGGAAAACTCAAAGATTCCAATTTCAACAGCCTTAACAAAATCTAACATAAATTTGTTACATTTTGTTTTGTTGGTTCTGGATTTTGTAGATTGTTCTGAATAGTTCAAATCTTTTTTGTAACTGATATATTTTTCTGATCCAACACTTTCAAATTCCAGTAGAATGCATGTAATGACTCCACCAAATCAACCTCTAATTACTATCAACATGTTATGCATGAATATCCCAGCATGCTTCAGTCACGTCCATTCAGACTCTACACACAGACACAACATGCACAATTATGTTCATATTTTACACTGCATATATGTATCATTTCATTTGTTTGCTTATTTTAACATTTATTTTATATAATATGTTATAGACCTTGAATAATTTACAATATATTCATTATTGCATAACAAGAATCGGCTTAACGTTTTAGAAATTTCATGTTAATCAATGGGTAAAGAGAAAACTAGAACAGTTGGTTATGAATATTTATAATCCAAAGTAAATCTTGGAACAGATTTCATAGACAGTCTGGCGCCATCTGTTGACAAAGCATGAAAATTTATCAGAAGCTTATGAACATTTTCATATCGTTTAACACTTACATGAAGCTGGTAGCAGTTTGACTCAAATGGTTCTAGACAGAAACAATCTTTTACTAAAGGATTAATCAAAGCCTGTTGTTGAGAAACACCTTGGAACAAAATCTGGTTTGGTTATCTCCCTTGACTATTGTAATCCATAAGACAGGTGGTAAACTACCCAGTGGTTACTCCTTATAATTGTCGTGCTGAAGATTTGGGTTGTCTCCTCATGGGTACAGCGTTGGAAACTCATTCATTCACCAATCTTGGTCTAAACCCTTAATTTAGTATTTCGAAACAGAGATTGTTATAATAGTGAATGAATGCATCAGTGAATCTTGTGTTAATTTATCAGTGTGGTAAAACAAATGATCCGCTGTGATATCACTTTCAACAGCAGCTCTAACCCAGCCATTGTCTTGATATTATGATGAAGTCTTCATTCTGGAAATTTAGAAAACCAATCTTTTTTTTCATTCATTCTGTTTTCGCTGACAACATTAATATATACCTGATAATGTTTATACCTTCCTTGTTTGCTGTGCATTAACAAGGACAATATACAGTAACATTAGCTAACACTCATACATAAAAGCTGCTAGATAGGAAATCTCGTCTTATCCATATGTCTTTATTTAGCTTAAATTGTCTTTGAGAGGATCACCATCACCATCTCATTTGTCAGTGTGGTGTTGTTTAATAGCATTTCATAAATGTTTTGTGTTCTCACTAGATCAGCACCTAATCCTTTGTAAATTGCACACATTGACATCAATGCAACTGTAAAGACTTATTAATATTCATCTGAAATGTCAGTCGGGCTATTAGTGATATTGTATCGTTAGCATTTATGAGAATTGAGCCCAACAATATATGTCCATATTCATGCAATTAGGAACATGTAAAGTCTTCAGCCATTGCTTGTGAATAATTTTATGTTCATTTTTTCAGTTCTCGGGAACCTGTTTGGAATACAGGTAAGGGTTCATGTCATGTATATTTGTTAAATAATGTAACTGTTTATTTGTTAGACATTACAGTTAGATGTAGTAACTTTTCTGACACCTTTTCAAATTATCAATGATATTGCACTCTATATTTTATATGTTTACACTCAACAAGAGTTATGGTTTGCAAGACAAATATGTATATTGTTTTCAAAATGTTTAATGATGTAGGGACATCTCTTTGTGAAATACATGATTGTTTTTGCAAATGTATTTTTAGCTTGTTAAAATAACGCCTTTTTTATGCATTTAAGCTAAATGAGGTTGAGTTTTGTTTGGACATATTAGAAACTAAGAAGAAGCACAATTGTGTATGCATGCAAGCACTTGCTCATGTCTTGTATCCATTGCTTGAATTCTCTGAGTTGATGTAGTCTGTGACTTTAACAAACAGCCTTGGTTTGGAGAATATCAGGTAGGGCTGGAATAAGCATTTGCGAGACTCTTATAAGCCATGGCTGGCCATAGCTGTATTGGGGTGTCTGATCATAAACATATTAGAATGAAAATTGGAGCAATTGCTGTTGCATTCATGTTTTTGAAGGGCAGTTGGGTAGCCTAGTGGTTAAAGCATTCGCTCGTCACGCTGAAGACCTGGGTTCTATTCCCCACATGGGTACAATGTGTGAAGTTCATATTGCTGCAATATGTTGACATTTAGAAATAATATAGGCTGATAAGTTTGGGGCTCAGACTGTGTATCTGATATATACTAGTATATCAGTGATATCTGTATGTGATATACGTGTGATAGATGTGGAGGCATGTTGCCCAGTGTTACTTGATCATGGTAGACTGTCACATCTGTGGGTGTTTTGTGTCGCTGTTATATGTATATGTATGCGCCCAATCAATTCTGTTCAAGGATGCCTATTGATCTTTGTGGTTGTTCAGTGCAAGAGCTTGCGAGTGTCTTCATTTAAAAATGTTTCTCTTCACTGTTGGAAGTAGCAGATTCTGACTTAGTGAATACTTGTATTTAATATGTTTGGCTTAACAGTTTCAAAACTGTTAAATAGGTCCAACATATTTCTTACAATAGTCAAGGTGACCTAAGGGTATAGTATGTAGTATCCTCATGCATTTTGCATTGTCAAGGTTTGATAGTACTTGAAGTGGCAACTAGATAAAAAGAAAGACTTAATCTACATATGCAAATGAGAGGATGGTACTATCTGCATGTAATCTGCATATATCAGTGGGTTGTGCTGAGTTTTGTTGTTTATTAGTCACCCCCAGTGTTATAGAATAAGTTTCACTACAGACAATCTGTTATTTTGTGACAAGCAAAGTCTGATAAGACGGTGATTTATTAATGCAAAAGAAATGAAAGATATCTTAGTTTAATAAGTCCTATTAACTTGATAATGAAATAAGAACCTGTATCTGTGTCTAAATACAAAAAAATAATAAATTCTGTTCTAGTTTCATCCATGAAAATAAGTAAATAAGTAAAAGTAATTTAATGTGACAATTTTGCTATTACGACTCTGGATCCACTTTTGTTCAATGGGTTATTCCTCCATACATCGAAAATATCAAAGTATTTGTCTTGACTGGTCATTCTCTTGTTCCACAGAGGGATCTAATTATTGCAATAAGTTTAGGTTTGGGGGGTGAACTTAAATTAGATTGCATTGTGGAATCACACCATTGATAACTGTATGAGTCGTGACAGTATTAGTAGAAAGTTCTTATCAGTGTCTCTTTTAGCTGGCAATAAAAACCGAAAGCCTGGCACTCTTTCCACAAAGTGAGATTGGCACTATGACTGTGGTAAATCAGTGTTATTGTATGGGAGTTTCGATCAACTTCGCACAACTTCGCACAACTTCGCACAAAGATCGCTTTGTGGAACAAGGGCCCTTGATATATGTTAGGGATACAGCTTATTGTTGACCTACACACACCAAAAATTGGAAAGTACAATAGTTTTAGTGCTACAATCGCCAAGTGGAATTGAACTGTGTTGTGACAATGTTGATATTACTGTTTAGTGGTAATGCCAAAATCACCAGTGTAACAGGGCCCAGTGTGCTAATTTCCTTCAGGAATATACATTCTTGTTAGCTCTAATTCACACCATAAGTTATTTTTTCAGTGTATGGCTTCCCCAAAAGGGTATTCAGGATTGTGTTTTGTGTTTTTTGTCGTCAATATATTTTAGTTACATTGTTTTCTTTTTGCAATTGCTAGCATTTGGTAAGTGTCTTCCTCCCCAGACTGCTAGTTTAACCTTCTTTTGCATAATTATGTGTGTCTGTTTGGTTGGACTGTCCTTTCCTCTTCTGTAACACAACAAACCTTTAACGATAATAGGTTCTGTTGATTCAGGCTGACCTACATTTCCAGCATGAGGGACATAAAAATGTGAATGCTTAAGATGGTTTGGATTAGAACATTTTGATTGGAACTTCATCTTATAGAACATCTTCATTTGCTGCTTGAATTGTTGTAAAAATGAAAAAAGTAATTCTCATTACCATGGTAACAGTGGTGAGTTTGTATGACTTTATTGGTTGCACTTAGGATTTGGTATTTAAAACACTTGATTCATCATTGCTTTAATGTATGTTTGAGGAACTTAATAGTGAACTGATGATTACTTTTCTGTAGTGACATTAATGGCAACTTAGTGAAACAGTACAGTTAAAAAATGTTTAGAATTCCTGATCTAATTAGAGTGTTTTGTTCTGAAAATAATCAACCCATAATGCTTTTTGCATGTACCTTAAGCAGCTGATGCAAATATTTACATGTTGTAAAAACATGTATGCTCTGAAGTTGCAAGTATCTTACAATAGTTAAGACATTTTTAATATATTGTTTAGATAGTTAAGATATTGATACTTTCTCTGACCAAGTGATCCAAAAGAATTCAGTGATATTGAAGGAGTATTAGATGAAAAGTGTGTTGGGTTGCTCAGTGGGGTGAGCGTTTGCTTGTCAAACTGAATTCCTGGGTTGAACCCTCACAAGGGTGCACTTCCGCTATCTCCCATAGTGTGTCTGGGACAGTGCTAAAGTGGCATGAATCCAAACTCACTCACACATGCAGAGGAAGGATAAGAAAGATTCCTTTGAGAAACTGTTATGAGTTACAATTTGAATAGGATAACAGTTGCTGTGAAATACTGACACAGTTGATGACATCAGTCACGGGCTGCTGAATGCTGCACCATCAACCTTTAATTCCATGCATGCTCATGTGAATGAGATTTGTGAGTGAGTGGTTACAGTTGTTTGGGGTTTTAGTCCTAATGATAAAGCACATGACGAACTAGAAATATTCAGTAGCAGTAGCCAAGTTTGTATTAAATATTACGTGTAATTGTAAACTTGGATTTGTTGTTATTATGTATAAGGCGATTACACCCAATAGTAATTAGCAAATATATTTTACATATACAACTATACATACATACAGTGTTAAACATGTCATCTTGAAATGTCTTGGAATCATTACCATGACCTGTTGAAGTGATGCTTTGCTGCTAATTTCACTATGTTTTCACTTAATGTTGTTATGCTTGATGTATTATTTTTGTGGTGAAACTGGATTAATTTAGTTCTGTGTGTTTTCAGAGAAATGCTTTGGTCTTGTACATAAGTATGAATATCATGCATGTAATATATATATATCATATAATGTGTCTGATAAATGTGTTAGCTATGGTATGATAAGGTCTCTAGGAGGTCAGTTTACCTTTGATGTGACTGATTTATGACTTGGTTATCTCCCCTGTGTGTTTCAGAGGATGGATACCTGAAGATCTACATCCGCGGGCGGCCAATCATGCTGTACGCACCCTCTACCCTCACTGACTACAATCTGTCGAAGATAGGGGAAACTCCATCTGAAACACTGCAGGTGGAATGGGTGTATCCTTCTCTTGAATAGCTGATGTTATCATAGACATTCCCTTTGGCTTCTTGGGCAGAGTTGGGCAATGCATCCCTGATGAGATCTTGTGGCAGAGTGTGTCCAGTTAACCCATTGCTTTGAAAACTCAATGGGGTTTAGAAAGTGGTCAAATGTAACATATATTATGTTTGGGATTACACTTTGTCAGTAAAGTACAGATTCTAGTACTTTTGTTGGATTGAGTCCCATCTGGGAATTGAACCCACACCCACAGAGTCAGGCACCTAATCGCCAGTACACAAAGTCAGCCGCCTAACTCGCTCAACTTGACTCTGCCTGACTCTGAGCGTGTAGGTTCGAATCACGGATGGTACTCAACCTAACAAAAGTACTAGAATCTGTACTTTACTGAGAAAGTGTAATCCCAAATATAACATGTTACATTTAGGCGGCTGACTTTGTGTACTGGCGATTAGGTGCTTGACTCTGAGGGTGTGGGTTCGAATCACGGATGGGACTCAACCTAACAAAAGTACTAGAATCTGTACTTTACTGAGAAAGTGTAATCCCAAATATAACATGTTACATTTAGGCGGCTGACTTTGTGTACTGACTGAACCCATGTTCCTGCTATGATATCGTTGACTGTTCTGCACTCACTCATTCACTCAATGTATTGGTAATTAACAGCTCAAGTGAAGTTTCTGCTTCATGGTAAACTTTGTTCCTTAACCGATCAAGCTATGGTTATCGAGGACGGGATTGTCGTTCCAATCTGTACAACTTACCGACAGGGGAGCTTGTCTACTTCATTGCAGCAGTTGTGGTTCTCTACAATGTTGAAGAAAATATGCAACGCCACTACCTCGGGCACAGCGATGATGTCAAGTGGTAAGAAGGGGAGACTACTCATTTATCAAGATTAAAGTGCAGGAATATTCTTTGTGGAATATGTATCACAAAAGATATAATTTATTCAATTAGTATGTTCTATGTATTATATCTGTGTCACTTATCCATTCAATTGAATTGTGTTTTGTGATGTTAGCTTTTTCAAATACTAAATTTGTTATAATTAACAATTTGAATTTGAATATGGGATGCTTTTTACCAGTACTTTAACCATGCAAAACCCAATTGAATATAGGATGATTGACTTCCATGTCTCCTGTATATACAGAATAATTTAGGAAACCTATGTGTCGCAGTGTATCCCAAGTAATGCATAGTTGTTGTTCGAGGTCACTAAAATGGATTTGGATGCCAGACCCTATGACTTATCGTACAGACACTGATTCTTTGTCTGCTCAATGAGCTGTGGTGGAGTAGCCTAGTGGTAAAGTGTCCGCTCATCATGCTGAAGATCCGGGTTCGATTCCCCACATGGCTATAATATGTGAAGATCTTTTTTGATGTCCTCAGTAGTGATACTGCTGGAATGTTGCTAAAAGCGGAGTAAAGCCATACTCACTCACTCACTCTGCTCAATGACGTATATTTTATTTCATATGGCGCATGATATACTGCACATTTTGCTGATCTGACACACTCATTGACTGTGTTTCCAGTATCGCTATTCACCCTGACAAGATCCGTATTGCGACTGGTCAAGTTGCTGGCCATGACAAGAAAGAAGGAAAAGTAAGTGTGACCAACTGACCATGTCCAAAGAGACAGGGCCAAGACTTAATGCATGTACTTCCTGCAATGTTTCTAACCAATCCCCCAGTGTTCTAAATTAAGCATGAAACTTAAGGGACCTTCACATAACCCAGTGTTACAATTAGAAGATTTGAGGAGACTCATGGTTCAAAAAACCATACAGGGAGAATCTTCAAGGACCCCAACATTCCACTTACTTTTGAACACTGATTCTGACATCACTGTTGTATATACTCAAAAAATACGAACCAATTAAATATACAAAAACTATCATGTTACAATGATAGGAAATTGATTTGGTGAAAATTTATACAAACATTTATTTATTAAAGATATTAAATCTCAATGGTTGAGATGATAGAGAAGTGAGATAGAGAACATCTATTTTATTTCTTTGTCGTATTAAGAGTAATAACAGTGTCATAATTACATGTTCATGATAATTCATGTTAATTGTCATCATAATCATCCAGCTAAACAACTATTGTTGTGTTTGTTGGTGGAAGATATCACCATGTTGATGTTGAACCTCCCATCACTAATCTGTGGCTCATAATACTAGTATGCTTGAAGGGGCTACAAACTGACACCTTAGAAAGCTTGCGTAACCATGGTAACAAATATTCGCTTTTCACCATAGAAATCAAATAGGAATAAATTATTTCTGCTTTAGTCCTTAGAGAATATGTTTTGCTGTACACAAGGAAACATTCTTTATTTTACCCGTACCAAAAGTTGTTGTTTACACATTTATCTTTGACATCTCCTTGAAAGCACATGGTTGATGAACCTGAAATTTTGACAGTGCGATGTCTCTAAACTTTTGTCACATTTTTTTATGTGATTTTAAACAAAAATTACAACTAGGACCTTTCTGCCATATGTTAGAATTTGATAGGAAGTATGTGAAATGTGCAATGAATAATTTGTGTTACACATATTTATATTTTTTTATTTGGCTGTGACATTTGATTTATCCTCATCTTTTGATACTGCATACTGAAAGTAGTACTGAAGAATAGTGAATTCGTTATACAGAGTTCACATTGTCTTCTCCGTTGCACCAGAATACACAATGCCATTTAGAAAGTGGTCAAATGTAACATGTTATATTGGGGATTACACTTTCTCAGTACAGATGTTAGTACTTTTTTGAAAGTATAGTCTCAGGTATAACATACGCTATCAGAAACCTGTTATCGTAGTTCGAATCCTGCGTCGCCCAGAATATGTCTGTAGGTTTTTCAGCACTAAACACAGGTTCCAAGGTTTCAGCTGAGTTTCAACATGTGCAACCTGCGTCTCTTTGGGCTTTCCACCCAAAAAGAGTAGATATGGAGTGATATGACTGGAATACTGTTCAAAATGGCATCACACACAAAAATATTACAAAAATAAGAAATATCCAAGAAAGCTACAGAACCCCATGGTTCACAACTTTTTAAATTCCAGTCTTGTAGTTTTGTTTCATTGCTTCCAACACTTGTTGATATTATGTATCTGGCCAGCACAATTCAGTCTTCCAAGTTATTACGCGTTCAAAATTTCTGTTTTTTTATCTCATTATTGGAGGGCCATTAGTCAATAACGCAGCAGCTGTGATCACAGTCATGTACTGATGGCCTTTAAACGAGTTTATGAATATATATACATTATTTCTATTATGTATGTTGTCCACATGGTATAAGCATCCAAGACTGGTTATTATAGTCCATTATAAACCAGGATATATGTATTCATATTAGAGTATATTTCATACAGATACCATGTGAGAAATTGCATCTATAGAAATTTAATGGAATGTGGTGAATTCATAAATTCTTATGCTTGAACTTACTGAGTTTGACTTGTCTTTTCTTTCAACGAATCTTGGTGGGATTTCAGAGCAGATTTTATGGAATGGTACCAATGCGTTTCTGAGTTTGAATGTGAAACTGAGTTTTTTTGTTCAGATGTCGCTATGTTCCAAATCTGTCATTCTCAAATATTCATGAGAGATAGAAATAGCAACAAGATTCTGTGTTGCAATCTACATAAAGATGACCATTCTTTTAAAAGCTGATAAAGCCATGATAGTCAATATATTAAAGAATAGATACATTTTATCATGTATATGTTGAAATGACAATTTTGGTATCTGATATTATCCTTCAACCATCCAAGCTTGACATTTTCTAGACACTGTAACAGCTGCAGGGGAATTATGGATTTTAAAAACTAAAAAAAATTGTTTAGCTGATATGAGACTGTTTTGAGGGGTTTTCATTCCTTCTGTGATTCATCTGAAATGTTTTATTAATATATCTAGTGCAGGGCTTGAAGCCCAGTAGGGGAACCTGGGGCACAATAAGTCCCCATCAACCAGTGCTTGTCATAAACAACGACAAACTGATCAGGATGTCAGGGTCGGTGACTTGGTAGATCACATTTCATCGTCCTCCAACAGAGCGGATTGTTGATCATGATACTTAGTATTGATTTGTCTGGTGCAGACACGCTTATTTACAGACTGTTGCATACAGCTGAAATATTGCTGCGTGCGGCATTAAACAAATACTTACTACTAACTTGTGAATTTGTGACTGTAATCCACACCAAGTTGACATCAGTGAGATGACTGGATACTATAATGTAAGGCAGTGTTAGGCCTGCCATATTCATAACTGATGCCTTATAAAGAAGGACATTTGACGAGTGAATACAAGAGAATTGTCAAGATATTCTGAGAGTAAATATACATGACATTAAACAAAGACTTACTACTAGTGCTGTGATGATTCATCGATACGCATTGATACAGTGAATCGATACAAAGTTTTACAGTGTCCTATATCCCAATATGATACTTCAAAAGGGCCACGATACATCGATTTATAACTCTGAATATTGCCGAATCGCGATATCTGTCAAGACAAAAAACTTACTTTTGTTTGATGATTAAAATATATGCTTACCTATTTTGCTTTCATAAGTGAACGTTTACAAGAACTGGGTCAGACATAGCACTTGCATGTTATTAACATTTACAAAGTCTGTGTATAAACTTAATTATCTTGTTTCCGAATGAACATTCAAAAACGCTGGCGGAATTTGATGAAATACTTCAAAATGGTTTTGCTTTGGTCTTAAGGTGTTTTATAGTTGGTGTGAGAATTAAGGATTTTAGTATCATGATACGTCTCATATCGCCACCCTTATATCGGGATTCGTATCGTATCGCAGCTTCAGTGAACAATACTTTGTCAATATATTGCCATGACTACAATTTTAGCATCGTGATGTATCATATCGCAGGTTGTATGCCAATACCAACACTACTTACTACTAATAGGAATGACAAGTCTTTATGGATCAACTTCTTTATTGCTTGAAAACAGCTTAAGTATCTATACTGATATGTCACTATTGTACAATAAAGAAGTTGATCATCGATAAATACTTGTCATTCCTATTACATGTACTTACAACTTCTAGAATGCCTCTCAAACAGTTCACTTACTACTAAGTTGTGGATTTCCTAACTGTCGTGCACATCAAGCTGACATCAGTCAGATGACTTGATAATACATAAGGCAGTGTTAAGCCCGCCATACTCATAACTAATGTTTCCTTTACACACTTGAGGAGTGAATACAAGAGAAATGTCAAGATATTATGAGAATAATTATACATGACTACCAGCTTGGCAGGTTGAAGGAAATGTTGTACGTCTGAGTCCTAACACTTCATTTTCACTGCACGTCATCATGGTTTATTTATCATTTACTTGCCTTCTTGTTCTGTCTCCTTCATTTGCACTGTTGTAAGCTTTTTTATGATTTATGCATGTTCAGAAAAAAAGAAATAGTACCTCTGAAGTAACAGATTATGACGAGAAATGGGTAAGTGCATGACCTTGGTCTGATGGTGTTATAGCCAATCATGTTACAGCTTTCTAACATTTGTATAGCATTGAACAAACTGGGAGCAAGAAAGATACCTTTGATATGATTTAAAAACAAAATATTTTGATCTGAAAGTTTAATCTAAATCTGTTCACATTTGAAAAAAGAAACAAAGAGGACTGACATTCTTGCTTGCAGACTGTTCCTTTAATGGCTGACTAACCCATCAGTTAATCCTATTATCCAGACCACTAAGTTAGAATCATGAGATACATATATGGTTGCAGGTCGGTTTGTTGTTACCGTAATGCACGGTGTCATGAAATAGTTTTGCTTGGCCACAAGTGATTGCTTGCTTATATATTTTTGTGTAGAAATTGATGTTGATTTGAAATCCATATTTGTTTTTATGGAAGTAATGATAGATCAATATATATGCAAAAATAGGGGGAGTGGGTGACTTAAAAATGAGAGTTTTGTGTACAAAATGAAGACACATGGTTTAAAGGTTTTTTTAGTTTGTTGTTTCAGCAGTGAATTGTTTGACTCCCAGTTGTCAACTAGTGTAACTTGCATTTAATAGAAGATCCCCAGAACAATTAAGGATGGTTTAATTCTGTGGAATAAGTTTTTGGGGCAATAGTTTGAGGTGTATATAACCAGCTAGTTTAGAATGTATCAACCTGTCATTGCACTCATCATTGCAACATGTGACTTATTGGGCAGAGATACTCTTTCCACTCAATGTTTTTTTGTTTTTTTAATTGCCTAAGAGTGCTGAAATTGACAGTGTGTATTGTGTTAGTGTATGTACACATTGCATTTTTGTGCCCAAACTAACTCACCCACTTAGTGTTTGTATATAAATGTAAACTGCATGTGTACCGATGTTCACTTCAGTGTGTGTATCCTGTAGTTAAATGTGGCACTTGAATGAATATTGTGAAGTGTGACTACTCATCCCAATAGCGTATAGAATTGTAATCCTTGTATCTTTCATATTATACGTTCCAATACATTCTTGCATAACCTACTTCTTAGTATTATATAGATTAATATTTTGACCATATTTTTGCAGTTATTTTTTTATTTCATATCTGAAAGACAGTTTGTTAATATTGTATTCTTTTTCATGGACCAGCTAAGAATAAATGTTATTTTTAACTATTTTCTTTCAATCTTACTTACCGGTAATTACTAGTGGGCAGTACTTCCTGCTTTGTTTACTAAAGTTAACTAATTTATGTAATATATATTCAAGAATTTTCAATTCAAAACTTTTCTTACAAATATATGCTTCTAAAATATTTTTAAGAGGTCTTCTAAGGAAACTTTAAAGAGAATGAACTTAGACTTATGACTGACAGGCACTTTTTAAATAACATTCTGAATTCTTTGATACTTTTTTCCATTGACATTTTCTTACCTTTCTTTACCTGAACATAGTTTTATTTCAATTAGATATCTGACATATGTTTATCTTTGTAAGCTGAAAATGATATTCAAATGAAAACCATCATTAGAAACCATCATCACTACCAAATCCAAGAGTAATAAGTTTTTATTTGATCATTTTAATCTGTTTTGGAGACATTTTCATCCTGCTTTGTAAATGAACTTTGAAAATACATTTGCTCTTAGATGGATCTTATTCTGAAAACTGATGTGATTTATGCACCATTTGACCTGTAAACAAAATAGCAGGCTTTGAAATTATACATTCAGTCGGTCAAAGTAAAAATGTCTTTAAATACTGGTTTTCATCTTGTTTAGAAATACATGGCTACCTGAATTTAGAATCCAGTGTTATTTTCCTATTACTCTCTGTATCATTTCATCCTTTTCAAATTTATGCAAATAAATAAGTCATAGGTTGTGAATAAGAATTAGAATCATTGATATTTCACTAACAAGATATGATGGATTTAATTAATTTGATGTGAATTCCAAACATAGCAATGCCAGCATTCAAACACACAAAAAACATTCTTAGCAAAAGTATTGGTTAATTACTAGTAGGCTGTACCAAAGAGTCTGGGTTCAAAGTATAGAGTAAGGTTTTGATTTCATGTTTTGTAAACAGATGATGTGAACATTTTGTTTCCTTTCAGCCACACATTCGTATCTGGGACTCAGTGAGCCTCAACACGCTTAATGTGATCGGACTGGGGGACTTTGACAGGGCTGTGTGTTGTGTCTCTTTCTCCAAGCTGGTAACTATACATATAATCATGTCTTCTGTACAGGGACAGTTGGGTAGTGCTGTCTTTCATCTCTCATTTGCCATGAGAAATGTGCATTATAATAACAGATCACACTCTCACGTTCACTCCAGGAAATCTCATGCATTTCTTAATAACAGTGGAACATGACAGTTAATGATTAACTGGATAGGTCGAAAAGACTGGCAGAGGTGGGGTAGCCTTGCGGTTAAAGCGTTTGCTTGTCACACTGAAGACCCGGGTTCGATTCCCCACATGGGTAGAAAGTGTGAAACCCATTGCTTGTGTCCCCCACTGTGATATTGATGGAATATTGCTTAAAGCACGTAAAACCACTCACTCACTCCAAAAGACTGGTAGAGATTTATAATTTCACTTGACACTGGCTATACTGTAGTGACAATCCTTGAAAGAGTTTTGGGTTGACAGCAAAGAAAGTTGATATTGAACTTGGTTATTGTGATGAAGATCTGGTTCAGTTCCACACTTGTAGAATGTGTGAAGCCAAGTCTTGGTGCCCCTTCCATGGTTTTCATGGAATATTGATAGCAGACTTGAGACCCAACACAGTCACTCACCCGAGACAAATATACCTGAAAAACTAGCAGAATTCGCAGTATTTCATTTGACAGAAGGTCATTGTAATAAAAATATTAAATTTGCTTTCATATTATTTATGTATTTTATTTGTCATGCCTAAGGAAAGAAGTTTGCCAGGTTGTTTTTTTATATGTAAGTGGACTATGCACATATAAACAAATAGTGTTAACAGTAATGAACAAAAACCTCATTTGAACAAGTTACTCGGATAATACCATTTCAATTTGGCAGGATGATGACAATTATTGCTGCCAAAAAGGGAATCAAAGAGTATATTTTACATTTTCTCATCGAGATAACCCATGAAGTATGTTTTGTTGAAATGACATTGGAATAGAGAATCATCAAGCTAAGAGAGACAACTTCTTGTTTCAGGATGGAGGGCTCCACCTGGTGGCAGTGGATGATGCAAATGAGCATGTGATCTCAGTGTGGGATCTCAGTAGAGACAAACCTCACAAGATCACAGAAACAAAGGTCAGTGGTTACATATATGATTATGTTGTAAACATTACACAGTGCAATGTTAAATGTTTGCCAGGACTCTTGAGCCGAATGACCAAAGCTGTGAACTTATCGATTACTCCTCGTACTACTTTATTTACAAGATTCTACCAATCAAAAATTAGGTTGCATTTATTGCAGAGTTCTACAGAACCCGTCCTGGCAGTTGAGTACCACCCACAGGAGAAAAACAGCATTGTGTCTTGTGGCAAGAGTCAGATCACCTTCTGGACTGTGGAGGGTGGATCTCTTGCCAAGAAACAGGGAATCTTTGATGTAGGTATTTGTCTTACATAGACCCAGGGCAGAATAAGATGTTTGTTGTTGGATAAAATATTTTAGATTACAGGGATTTTGCTGAGTCTGCAGTAAAACCTTGTTAAACTGAATACTAGTTTACCTTGAAATAGGTAGTCCTGATTAACAGGTTCATTAATTTAGAACTAAGGTTAATTACAAATTATGTGCCTTTCATGAATTTAACTTGAAATTTCCATGCCAACATACTTGATAAAACTCGTCACGATATGGCTGAAATATTGCCGATGTGACGTTAAATATTAACTCACTCACTCACTTGATAAAAACTCTTATGACACAATCCGAACAATGGAACATTTCGAACAACTAGGCAATCCGAGTGAAGCAACTGTTATTATGCTCAGTGAGAATTATACTGAGTGAGTGAGTTAAGTTTTACGCTGCTTTTAGCAATATTCCAGCAACCTTATGGCGGAAAATTATACTGAATCTAAGGGCACTGATATACTTGCCAATGAGTAAGATAATTATCATAATGAATATACATGTAAGTTACATATGTATGTGTTATAACATGTTTACATGAATATGCTTTGAAATGGATGCATGGAATAGACATTCTACGGGTTTGTAACAAACGTTACACTTTATCTCCACAGAAACATGACAAGCCAAAGTACGTATTGTGCTTGGCCTTTGCTGATAATGGGGACGTGATCTCAGGAGACTCAAATGGCAATATCTTCATTTGGGGCAAAGGTTTGTCTATATGTTAAAGCATGAATATAGAACATGAGTTCTCTTCAGTGATACAAATCTAAACTAATGCTCAGATATTTCACTCAAGATTGATATAACTGAAACTTATACATGCTGAGAACATTGCAGTTTGTATTTATAACATTTTGTAAAACATTGCTATGTATAAATCCCAAACCAGCTATTCATGTTGTTTCAGGAAGCAACCGGATCAGTCAGGCCATCAACGGTGCTCACGAAGGAGGAGTATTCTCCGTGTGTGTCATGAAGGATGGGTCCATTCTGTCTGGAGGGGGAAAAGATAGGAAGGTCATCCAGTGGGACAGCACTTACAAGAGGACAGGTCTAGAGACAGAGGTTAGATCACCCCTGTTATGCCATTGAACCATCTGAGATGACATCTTTATGATCTTGTTCATGTAACTAGTCAGAAGATTTCAAATGAAAGGGGTGTGTTTGTGGGATTTTTTTGATGACGTGATATATCATTTGACAGTTACTAGCAACAGACTCGGTGGATTTCATGTTGGCATATCCCAATGTATGGCATGGTCGCTGCTAAAAATATAAATGTCTGGGTTTTTTTCTGGTCCAGATTCAGTTATTTACAGACTGGCATCATACAACTCAGTGTGACATGAAACAACAAATAAACAAATAGACAGATCAAAGTTATTACAGTCATCTGCAGATATAGTGATGCCAGACAGGAAAGAATATGCTAAGATGACCCAAAATATAATTCACAGGAATAGATAACAAATGTGAAGGCAATATCATCAAGTTTATGGCTCTATAAAGCAGCTGTTTTTTTAAAGTCTCTTTAGGTGAGTTGTATCAAGTGCATTATGTTGTGTTTGTGACAAGATTGTCTTTAGGTTGGATATTCTGTTATATTTCCTTCCTCCTCCAGATCCCAGAAGTGTTCGGCCCAGTGAGGACGCTGGGTCAGGGAAAAGGGAACTTGATTCTTGTGGGCACCACACGCAACTCCGTGCTTCAGGGCACCCTTGACCTCAAGCTGAACCCTATCGTGCAGGTGAGGAGCAGAGTAGCCTCCCCTTGTGTGTGCTCATGGAGGTGGCATTAGACAGTATATTAGTCGTGGTGTGAGTGATAGTGTGGAGATGGTGGTTTTTCAGATATTGTATTAGATCACGTTTGAGGTGGTGTTGGAGGTGGCGTTGGAGGTGGCATTGAGATACTGCTTGACTGTTTGAGTGTTTCAGATGCTATCAGCAATGATTCAATGTTTAAGGCAATATTAGCATTGATTTTTTAAGATGGTTCTGTGTGATGTTTGAGCAGTGTTTGAGAATGTGTTTGAGTTGATGTTCAGTATGATATATGATGTGAAGATTGAGGCTTATCAGGCTGGTAATCATGCATCAAGTAAGTACTACTCCACATATGTGGAATTGCAATGCTTTAAATGCTTTTATGTTTGATTTGTGGCCAGATGCTATTATGCATTCTTTTAGAAATCTGTATGTATGTATCTTAATGCATTTATTTTGGTGACTTGATGGGTGGCTGTGTGGATTATGTGTTTTCAGTATAAACACCATTCATTCCCCCTGTTTTGTTGTCATCTGTAGGGCCATATGGATGAGCTGTGGGGGCTTGCCACTCACCCCACTCAGCACCAGTTCCTCTCCTGTGGTTCTGACAAGCACATCTACCTGTGGGACAGCATGTCACACTCTGTCATCTGGAGCAAGGAGATCACGGTGAGTCACAAGCACATCTACCTGTGGAACAGCATGTCACACTCCGTCATCTGGAGCAAGGAGATCACGGTGAGTCACAAGCACATCTACCTGTGGGACAGCATGTCACACTCTGTCATCTGGAGCAAGGAGATCATGGTGAGTCACAAGCACATCTACCTGTGGGACAGCATGTCACACTCTGTCATCTGGAGCAAGGAAATCACGGCAAGTCACAAGCACATCTACCTCTGGGACAGCATGTCACACTCTGTCATCTGGAGCAAGGAGATCATGGTGAGTCACAAGCACTTCAACCTGTGGGACAGTATGCCACGCTCCGTCATCTGGAGCAAGGAGGTCATGGTTAGTCACAAGCACTTCAACCTGTGCGACAGCAAGGCAATCATGGTGAGTCACATGCACATCAACCTGTGTGATCATGGTGAGTCAAAAGCACATCTACCTGTGTGATCATGGTGAGTCTAAAGCACATCAGCCTGTGTGATCATGGTGAGACAAAAGCATATCTACCTGTGTGATCATGGTGAGTCAAAAGCACATCTACCTGTATGATCATGGTGAGTCACATGCACATCAACCTGTGTGATCATGGTGAGTCAAAAGCACATCTGCCTGTGTGATCATGGTGAGTCAAAAGCACATCTACCTGTGTGATCATGGTGAGTCAAAAGCACATCTACCTGTGTGATCATGGTGAGTCTAAGCACATCAGCCTTAGTGATCATGGTGAGTCAAAAGCACATCTACCTGTGTGATCATGGTGAGTAAAATGCACATCGGCCTGTGTGATCATGGTGAGTCAAAAGCACATCTACCTGTGTGATCATGGTGAGTCAAAAGCACATCCACCTGCGTGATCATGGTGAGTCAAAAGCACATCCACCTGTGCGATCATGGTGAGTCACTAACGCAGCTGCCTGTACAATCACAGTGAGAGGCAAACAGACATACCTATGGGATCACACTGACTCTCATCAACCTGAAGCATCACAGTTTGTTACAAGCACATTCAGCTCACTATCATGTATAATTCTCTTACAGCCCATTCACTCCCACTGCCCATGTTTCAGGACCCCGCCCACAGTTGCTGCTTCCATCCCAACGGGTGTGTGGCAGCAATCGGCACCCATGCTGCCAGGTGGCTAATCGTCGACCTCGCCACAAGAGAGATTGTTAGTGTCCACAGTGACGGCAGTGAGCAGATTGAGACCATCAAGTACTCCCCAGGTCAGTTGGTTGGGCACGTCTGGGCAGGAGTGTCATCACTGCTGTGCAGAGTTGCATCCTTTCACTGCTAGGTTCAGGGTTCAATCATTAAATCATACAAATGATCCCTTATCAATACCCATGTCACAAAGCGATTGTAGGACTAAGACTATCATCAGTATGTGTAAGACACTACTGTTAGTGCTGTAATTTCTGTATGGATCAGCAGTCATGATCAATGAAAAAGTTCCTTATTCTGAAATCTCCAGCTGAAAGTTGCACATGTCTATTTTGCATCAACCTGCATAATTATGTTCGTGCAGTCTCTGAAGGTTGTATGTCTTTTGGTAAACAAAAATTAGTTTCATGCTATCACATATTGTCCCATAAGATTCTGTGGAGGTATAGTTTTTCAGTTGCTAATGGTGTGATCACATGGGAACAAAATTGGAACTGGTATTTAATGTTTGTAGGAATACATTGTACCATGTAGTTGTCCTTGATATTAACTATCAGCCATGAACATATTTGTCAGTAACTTCTTTAATCTAGGCTTCAGTCGACATTGATATGATATTCAGTGCAACCTATGGAGAATCTTAGTCCAGAAACCCCACTTTCTGGATGAACTAGGTGGAAGCATATGTAATGTTCTGCATTAACTCAGTACCAATGATCCATTAATCCAGAAATTGGTCAATAAAAGATTTCACTCGGAACTGTACCATCCATGTAATCAACATGCAGTTAAGATGACCTATCATTTACCCACTGTAACATCTTGCAGATGGTAGTTACAGTTAAGATGACATGTCATTTACCCACTGTAACAACTTGCAGATGGTAGTTACAGTTTAGATAACATGTCATTTACCCACTGTAACAACTTGCAGATGGTAGTTACAGTTACGATGACCTATCATTTACCAACTGTAACAACTTACAGATGGTAGTTACTGTTACGATGACCTATCATTTACCCACTGTAACATCTTGCAGATGGTAGTTACATCGCCATTGGGTCCCGAGATAACTACATCTACGTGTACCAGGTCAGCGATGGAGGAAGGAAATACTCGAAAGTTGGAAGGTGCTCGGTAAGTTCCAATAGAATCTTCTCCATGTGATTCAAATACAGAATGGGTCCCCAGCAGCCTATGGTTTATAAAAGAGATGACTCCATTAAATTTTGGCCCATAACACCCTGTCAGTACTCATTATATAGGAGGTTAGCATCATGTTATGAAAGTCGCTTTTGCCCATCTTTGTTGTTGGTGATGGTGGTGATGAGCTTGACATATTAATGTATGGGTTTGTTTTGAGTTTGCATAATGTGTATTCATGTCATTAAGCCCATGGTGGGCTGTGGATGAGAATCACAACAATTTCCTAGGAAGGATACCAGTGGTATTTGGATGGACCTACTTGGCAACATTTCTATGGTTTGTGATCCCACGACCAGCCATTGTGCTCTACAGCCATTTACAGATGGGAATGGTGGAGTAAAATATTTAACCTGTTATGCCTCTGACCCAGTTCAGTTCCCAAGAAGGGTACAATGCATTAAGCTCATCGTTGCAGTTTCCTAATAGACTCATACTAGTAGAAATAACACCCATTTAGCTCTTTATCCCAGACTGGTTGATGCATGCTGATTCTGTGACATTCACTGACTCACAGTCACATCTATGTTACAGGGCCACTCCAGCTTTATAACTCATGTTGATTGGTCGGAAGACAGCCAGTATCTAGTCAGCAACTCAGGGGATTATGAAGTCTTATACTGTGAGTTGGATTTACAATCTCAGCCTCGCTATATTATGTGTTTGTTTACAGACTTTTTGCCCAAAATTTGGGTGTTTGGAAAATACATACAAATTTTTTTCCATAAAGCAAAAGGATGATGAAGATATACAAGTGTTTTGTATTGACCTACAGGGACAGTGAGTTCTTGCAAGCAGGTGACCACACCAGCCTCATTGCGTGACATCCAATGGGCAAGCCAGGACTGCACTCTCGGCTTCAATGTTGCGGGTAAGGAGATATGTATTGACTTGTGTCTCATTATGCATGTTGTATACTCAGTTAAAAGAGAATAAAACACATAAATCAACCTGTATACTTTCAAGACATAATCAGCCATTAGTGAGTGAGTGAGTTAGTTTTACGCCACACTGAGCAGTATTCCAGCTATATGGCAGTGGTCTGTAAATAATTGAGTCTGGACCACACAATCCAGTGATCAACAGCATGAGCATCGATGTACACAATTAGAATACGATGACATGTGTTAACCAAGTTAGTGAGCCGGACCACCTGATCCTGTTCGTCGCCTCTTATGTCAATCATCGGTTGCTAAGACCAATTCTAATTTGTGAAATCTGGTCCAGATAAACATATATGTGACTGTTGTGTTTGACAATCATTGGACACATTTATCAAACCATCAAACTCTTGACAAAACAATGTTACTATCTGCAGGAATTTGGCCTGATGGTGCTGATGGTACAGACATCAATAACTGCACCCGTTCACACAAACAACACCTTGTAGCCACTGGAGATGACTTTGGGAAGGTCAATCTGTTCAAGTATCCATCTTGTCAGCCCAAGGTAAGCTGAAAAATCTTGCAATTTTTTACCAAAAATGTCTTTTAAACACTGTCTGTGTGGCCCATCTCTCTTTCATCACGTCACTGTCAGCAATACCTCTGTAACCCATCTCTCTTTCATCACGTCAGTGTCAGCTATATCTCTGTAACCCATCCCTCGCTCATCACGTCACTGTCAGCTATATCTCTGTAACCCATCCCTCGCTCATCACGTCACTGTCAGCTATATCTCTGTAACCCATCCCTTGCTCATCACGTCACTGTCAGCTATATCTCTGTAACCCATCCCTCGCTCATCACGTCACTGTCAGCAATATCTCTGTATCCCATCCCTCGCTCATCACGTCACTGTCAGCAATATCTCTGTAACCCATCCCTCGCTCAACACGTCACTGTCAGCTATATCTCTGTAACCCATCCCTCGCTCATCACGTCACTGTCAGCAATATCTCTGTAACCCATCCCTCTCTCATCATGTCACTGTCTGCAAGTATGACCCATGTCTCACTTATCACCTCAACCCTGCAACTATCTGCAACATCCCTTGTTTCTGTTCACAGTCCAGCAGCCATGTCTGCAAGGGGCACAGTAGTCATGTGACTGATGTCGGCTTCCTGTTTGACGACTCTCGGCTCATCTCAACTGGAGGTCGTGACATGAGCATCATCCAGTGGGAAGTTATTGGGTAGATGCAAAAACATGTTCCAAAGCCAACCCGAAGGTGATAGTACGTACTACCATTTGAAGAGATACTGTACTTCAGTGAAAGATGAAACTATGAATCACCGTTTTTGGATAATTTGGATGAAGTTACTGGACGGTTTGCTGCCCTCAGACATCACATTGTGGAACTGACGTATATACTGTAACGCAAGCACGACAAGCACCTGTCAACACATGCCAGGCATTTTTGTGTTTAGTTTGTTTCTCTGATGCATGGGTTCGCCCAATGAACAGGTTTATGTGTACCGCAGATTGCTGAGTTCATCATATCACTACAACCTTACACAGATGAAAGTTCCTAATGCGCTGTAGCAACTATTGTCTTGTAACAACTGAAACGACTATTCAGTGTGACACTGACGTGGCTTTTCACGGCTGAAATGCAGGTTGTCACATGTCGATGATGAACAAACATGGACAGAATATATTTTCTGCTATGATCATTATGAGTGCTATTAAGCATTTTTTTTATAATTAATAGTAATATTTATAAATGGTTAATGGTGACAAAGTATTTCAATATGATTTTTATCCACTTTTATATTACCAATATCCACAATGCGTTTAGTCTTGCAGCAGATGTGTGTTATCTGTAAAATACTATTTAAACTGTGTATGTTCATAATCTATAGTGTAACTATAAATAAGCTTGTATTTGAGTCACATTTCAGAAATACTTTCAAATGGAAAACAATTGGTAATAACCACATACTGTATTGACCTTTATTGAAATAGTGGATAATTCATGTTTCCTGTATTATTTAGATGTGAAACGGTATGCTCTTACCATGTACGTATTGTCGTACAAGGCGCCTTCGGTTTGGTCTGTTTCGATTCAGTATATAAGATATGATCATAATGCAGAAAATTGAGAACAAGAGCCAAACCTTACATTGTTTAATAACATGAAAGAACAATAACCATAATCTTTGTTATTTTGAATTAACAAAACTCTCATTTTATGACTAGATAGAAATGATGGTACGAAAACCAAAAATACCTAATTTTGAGATTGCATTACGGTATTCCGAACCGAAGGCTAAATACCACGGTTCTTCTAATATACCGTTTCACCCCTAGTATTATTGGATTGGAAGTTAGTGAATGTTTATTTCATCAGGTACACAACTACTTCTGCTACTACAAGGTGACTTTAGCCGTAATGGGCCATTTTGAAGTTTTTCTCCTTTGTATCCTTTCATCATTATGAAGCTTGGTCCGATGTAGGATCAATGGCACTTTTGAAGATGGAGAATGATTTCAATTTATTTATCTGAACTGTGATCTGTTTATATATATTCCCATGTTATTGGAGTCTATTTACATTATGTCATGAACAACATATGGGATACTGATAAGGGACTGGTCATCTGATAAATCAGTGTCACCAAGCACCTACACTTTTGGGAGGCACCCAACAAAAGATCAACCGAAATTGGTATTTACTGGGTTTTCATGACCACATATGACTTTAGTGCTAGATGAGGGTTATAGATAAGAACTTGTTTTGAGGAGGTTAAGTACTTTTAGTTCACCATGATTGATATACAAAGCCCAGTGAAACAAGTGACCATCCCTTATGAACTGCATTCGAAATCATGGGCCGATGTATTTCATTAGCCATGCTCCTCTTTCCACATTGCTCTGCTCAAGATGATCGTCACGATATGGCTGCAATATTGCCGATGTGACGTTAAATATTAACTCATTCACTCACTCACTGCTCAAGATGACAGTAGGCGTAGGATGATAAGAGAATCAGTGTGTTTTGCAGATCAGAGAAGCCAGGAATCATTATAATGAGTTGGATTTCCATTTTGCATGGCTGCATGGTATAATGGTGAGGAACACTTGTAAAACCTGTGTTGGTCTGTACTAGTACAAGATCTGTACCTGCGTGAGTGCATGTCACTTTATAAGTGCACAAGGGGCGGTCGGGTAGCCTAGTGGTTAAAGAGTTCGCTCGTCACGATCCCCCACATGGGTACAATGTGTGAAGCCCATTTCTGGTGTCTTTGCTGGAATATTGCTAAAAGCAGTGTAAAACTAAACTCACTCACTACAAGAGCACAAAGTTTGAACGTGGGATTAAACCCCACTACACATCACTGAATACAGCGGTATGATGTACCTTTAACAAATTCAAACACTTTTTTTTTTACTTAATCCTCTGGGTATGTGAAAAATGTATGTTAAACTCTATGAACATTCTTTTTCATGTCTTTTCCTTATTATGAACATACAAATGTACAATGTACTGACAAATGTACCTAGGTGCCCACACGAGCAGATAAACTATTTGGGAGTTTGCGTTCAATCCAAATGTGATTTTCAATATATTTGTATGTGTGCATATGTGTATATATATATCAGTGACATTAAACTAATTGTTGTTGGTACAAAGTGCTTTGTTGTGAAAATTGTAAAAAAATGTTAATGGCATGTAAATACTTTTTGTTAAACTAATACATTAAAAGGGTAACCAAAGTAACCACACATCTGGAAGCATTGGTATCCTTTGTACTGAAACATGCAACTTATATGCTTCTACTATTCAGTTTACCTACTTAGCAATATAAATATATATGTATATCTGTACAGTCTATATACATCTGAAAGGTATTTTCTTATACATGTACAAGGGTATATGTCAACTTTATGTACATTTCATATTTCAAGATGAGTCATGTATATTTGAAATGTATATTGCATGATGCTTCCAATGTGTTTTAGAATTGCTGCATACCCTTCTTCAGTTACCATCATATGCTTAGGCTTTGCCACCATCTGTTGTGTTTTAGATTTGCTGATGATGCTATATTTATTTAATGGTATGATATTAAATGGCCTGATTTCATGTTTGTACTCTCTGATTTAAATGTAATAAGTTTTAGATATTAACAACTGTTTTTCCATGAACAATTGCAACAGGAACATGCTTAGCTCCCCATAAGTTCTATTTGTTGTCAGGTATGCAGTTCAATTTTTTTTATATGGGCCAGACCAGTTCCTTGTTTTTAGCTAGTTTCTTTTTCTTTGCATGTTTGTTCAGACGATAATTTCAGGAGGGATGTAATACTACAGCAATTGAATTTGGTATTCATTGGATTTTTTTATGACCACATACAACTTTTGTGCTAAATGAGGGTTAAAGATAAATCTCTTTGAGGAGGATAATTATTTTTATTTCACTATCACAGATAAATCTACAGGTATACCAAGTTTTTGTGCAAAATGACAAAAAATGGTGTTTATATTTCTCTGTATCTCTTTCTTTGCATGTTTCAAAGAATTAAATTTTCTTTCTCTTGGAGTATATATAAACAAATATGTGAAATGTGAAGTTACACTGGTCTGGCCTCATCAAGAGTCATTTTGTCACATTAGTGTGTCTTCTTTTTATGTTCACTGCCAGGAATTAATCAAATAGTAAATGTGTTTATGTGCTTTCAGTTGGTGGTAAGATTGTGTTGTCCGATATACTGTTGTGTCCTTTCACCATGTGCCCATCTGCATTTTTATCGTTCAGATGTCGGAAAGTCATTTTGAAAATATCCTGTGAACGGTTTGCCACTCATTGTATTAGATGTTGAAAACAGAGAAGTACTTATGTTCGGAATGATGTGTGATGTAAATATATTTCTGAACAGGGCCTGTTTTATGTTGCAAAAATCAGCACCTTGTTATAGAAATTTTATTTTTTGAAACACACATGGTAAAAATGGCACTACAATATGGCCCCTATTAGAGGTAGGAAGGGGTTCAGATGGTATGAGGGTATTGGTATAGAGTTTAGACATAGTACAGCACTAATGTTTATGAATGGATGTCCAGGCTTATGATGCTTTCAAACATTTAACCACAAGTGAAGCATTCTTTTTATTTAAGTCAGACAATAATCAGTATGATTTCAAGTATTTTCTCTGCCAAGTTATGTTACAGAAGTATACTGGTATAGGTTTTTCATATGAATTGCATACTTGGTTTATTTGCTCATTCATTTGATGTATATTCACTTATATTGTCTTCTACAGTATGACTCAATCAGTGTCATACTTATGGTATTGGACACTTTTTTCAGTATTAAACTGTTTTTGTATTTTAAATAAATGTCTTCAAAATATCTTAATTCAGACTGTTTAGCTTTTTTCATGAAACTGTTTGTGCAATATGTTTATGTCTGATGGATACTTCTGACAATTTTCATTTCCTCCTAAGCACATTACCTTTGCTGCAGATGTTTTGGTCTTCTTTAATGTTGAAACTGATATGACTGACTGACTGAGTTTGGTTTTACGCCGCTTTAAGCAATATTCCAGCAACATCACGGCGAGAGACACCAGAAATGGGCTTCACACATCGTACCCATGTGGGGATTCGAACCCGGGTCTTCAGCGTGACGAGCCAACGCTTTTACCACTAGGCTACCCCACCGCCCCGAAACTGATAGGATCATACTGATAAAGGAAAGTGGTTTTGGCCAGATAGAATGGAATCCGGGCATGATGTCTTCCTGCCTTATAGGGACAATCACCAACTGTATCTCTCAATGTTTATAGTTAACATTGATGTTGTCAAAGGAAATATTTAGATCTTACCACTTAACATACCAAATATCAAGATCTTGGTGTTCCATGTCTATCAACACTTACAAAACAATTCTGCTTAAGCTCATCACTATGACCCCACTCAAATATTTCATTATCCAGGAGGGATGATTGGGTTAGCCAAGTTGGATTATCACACAGAAGACCAATGTTTGACTCCAGGATGCTAGAAACCCATTCCTGATGTCCCCAGACGTTATATGGCTGGAATATAACTAAAAGGGATGTAAAACTACACTGGCTCATTCAGCCAGAAACTTCACCTTGAGTATATATGCTCATTTTGCTTCACTGTCTCATTATGTTAATTTGAATACTTGACTGAGTAACAGCATATTAACTTTTTATTCATATACTGCATGATTCACAGTTTCACCTTTAAAGACATATAAGAACCTGGCCCTGTGTATACCATAGTAAATTATTTAAATCCCAACTATTGCTTACTCTGGAATAAAATTCTTAAAGTTTTCAATTAACTTTGTTTTGTGTTTTTCTTGTGTAGTTCTACTAACATGTTTCTTCCTTGCCCTACTGACTTTCGATACAAGCTGTCTCCAAAAAGGCTCCTATAGTTTACTCATACGTAATGCTTATGTGAGATGAATGGAGCCATTACAAGGACTTTTTGGGACACAAACAGTAAAGTGGTGACACAAGATAAAGACAAAACTGGATGGAATAGTTCTTGTTTTGAACAGACACAGTATGGCTGTGGTTGATTGCCTATGGGTTTCTAGAACATACTAAATAGAAAATGTTCCATGCTCTGCTGAGATGTGTATCACACACCACAGCACATTGAGAACCACAAAATGGATTGGATTCACGAGTTCGCCGTTTTTCTTTTTGTTTCTACAGCGACAAGAAGGACATAGTATTCGGGCGTCATTGTCAGGAGTATGTAAATGTGACGTTGTTATGAATGTCATTATCGAGACGTTTACCATATTTGTACAATGTGCTAGCTAGGTTTGGTCGTGTACATTTTCATGAATTTGTCACTTCCACATAGCTTTTCTCTCCCAAATTGTCAGTATTAGTTACAAGAATAATTACTCATCTCTTCAATGAAAGTTAGCATCTGTGAACGTCAAACGTGCCACACAGATCGAGGCATATGGTATATATTTCTCAACGTAAAAAGGAATCTTTAAAAATAATGATTTGCCTCGTTATGTTGATGTACGAAATTTATCATATAAAGAAATCGACGGGGTATGGTATAGGACATGTTTACCCTTTTCCCAAAGACCAAGTTTAAATCCAGCTATGTCAGGGTTTTGATCGGTATAGGACATGC